ATCAGGCCAGGAGGGGAGGGCAGTTGGGGGTGATCAGGCTGGGGGGCTAGGGCTACTGGAGGCAAGCAGGCTGGTGGGGGGACAGTTAGGGATGATCATACCGGAAGAGGGGCAGTTGGAGGTGATTAGCCTGGCAGGCAGAGTGGTTAGGGGTAATCAGGCAGGCAGGCAGATGAGCAGTTAGGAGCCAGCGGTCTTGGATTGCGAGAGGGATATCCAATTGCCAGTCTAAGCCTGATCCCTGTGGGACTAAACCAGCAGTCGGACATCCCCCGAGGGGTCCTAGGTTGGAGAGGGTGCAGGCCCGGCTGAGGGACACCATCTCCCTGCTATACAAAATTTGTGCATCAGGCCACAAGTCAAATTATATTGGTCATGGTTTATGCTCCATGGCCAGTTTCCTAGGAAGATAACTATCAATCACATATTCAAGCATTATGGACCAACCACATACTCTGTGTTAGTCAGAGTTTTCCAGAAAAACAGAACCAATAGAATGTGTATCCATAGAGAGAGATTTAGTTTAAGGAATTTGGCTCAGACCAAAGAGGAGGCTGGAGACCCAGAAAAGAGCTGTTGTTGCAACGCAAGGCCAAAGGCAGACTGGAGGTAGAATTCCTCTCCCTCCCTCAGGGGAATCCATCTTTTTCTCAGGGCCTTCAACATTGTGGAGGGGAATCTGCTTTACTCAGAGCCTGCTAATTTAAATATTAATCTCACTTTTAAAAACACCTCCACAGCAACATCTAGATGTGTTGGACCAAATACCTGGGTGCCATGGCCTAGCCAAGTTGACGGTAAAAGTACCCATTAGCGTGGAACTTGGCCTTCGTCTGAGACTCCAAGGGGGCTGCCTCCAACGGAGGCGGCCTGGCCATTTTATAGACGAGAAAGCCAAGTCCTAGATAAAGGTTCAGTGAGTTAGTCCCAACGAGTCAGGACAAACATCCAGCCTCATGGAATGATAATGCCCACCTTTTTCTACCGCAACTCCTGTCACCACCAGGGCCTGAACTCAAGACTTACACAGAACCACTCTCATTTTATTATACTTATTTGGGATTATAGCCAAGTCCATTCAAACCATGAACTCCAGGCCAAGGAAATCAACTTTCCTCTTGGGTGCACTTTCACATTCCCGTCCCACACCCTCACATAGCACAGAGCTCCCGCCCAGCCGACACACACAGACCATCCTCGGGGGACTTCTCTTTGAAAAGTGCTTTATTTAACAAGATCTAAGTCAGATGCATTAGGACATATCAAAACGTCACACGGCCCCCTAGGAGGCCTTGTCAAATGATGTTAAGATACCTCAACTCAACGCATCCATTCATAAGTTCAGAACCAAAGCATTAAACCAGGTCATGTACCTTTGCTAAAAGTCAAGTTACGAGTACGAAAAGAACACTTCACAACGCCAAGACAAGTGGGGAAACACTAGCAAAAACCCACAGAAACCATCAGCCCAGGAAACAGGTCTGCGATCTGACTCAAAAGTACTAAATGGAGGCTTTCCCTTCATAGCTTGTCCATGTCTTGTGCTCAACTAAAACACAGGGGGCGCTGTAACACACACACACACACACACACACACACACACACCCCATGGCGGGGTAAACGCTTTCAGGTACATCAGAAAGGAGTGCCATATTTATTTTTATTTCTATCAAGCTAGGACATCCTTCTCATCTCATCTAATTCAAACAAGACTTTGTATAAAACTATTTAAGCAGAGTCTGGAAAGTTCATGCTACTGCATCCGGGCGCTCCAGATCACCTTTGTCTCCCATCTCACCCCCACCTCATGGTTTGGTCAGTGTGAGATGCCCTTGTTGATATTGAAAGTTATGTCTTGGAGATGCATCTATGACATCATGTTCTCCATGCTCCAGAGCTTAGAAATAACTGTGGGGGGGGGAGGTTGGGTGGGTCTTTTTGTTTGTTTGTTTGTTGTTGTTGTTGTTTTGGATGGGAGGGTTAAGAGCTTCTCTTTTCTTAAAAGAGCTCCTTGCCTTTCTGTGGCCCATCGCCCCCTACTGACACTCAGATAACCACCCATCTCCGCAGAAAACAATTCCTGCCAAGACGTGTTTGCATCGAAGAACAGTTATGTATTTTTTGGTCACTTCATGCCACTTGTAATAAAATGTGTTTATCTGGCTATCTCCAGGACAGAGTATTTTTTCTTCCCAGTACGGAAGAGGCTAGGGTGAACATATTTCTCTTTGAAGTCTCAGGTCAAAATCTCAGCCTGAGGCCTCAGCATTTTTCCACGTGGATGGGTAGCTAATCTGAGATCCTCTGCCTCAATGTCTAAGTCAAGCCTGTCTAGACTGGAGACCAGTGTTACCATTCTGCCCATCCTTTGTGCTGTCCAGTCCCTCCCCTAGGTAACCCCGCTCCCCACCTCTTCACTCATCACCTTCCCACTAATGTGATCACAGAGAACGTGATCTTGTGCTAGATTCCACCATCATCACCTGGGGGAGCGGGACCCCCTTCCCAGCCAGATGGACTCGGGTTTTCCTTCATTTGATCGCCTTGTAACACAAGCCTCTGGCAGAAGAAAGCAATTGTGGCTATACTGATTTTCACAAGTCAGGGGGAAAACTCTGTAAATTGGCCTTTGTTCTTCGCACGATTTCAGGTTCATTGCACGCAGTTACATAAACCCTCACAGATCAGTGGAGAAGTTCAAAGCTGCGGGGCCATGTGATACCGATGAGAAAATCCAGCTCCACGCTGTGGAGAAGTATTTGTTTCAGCTGCTGCTATTTCAAAGAATTCCTGACCGTGTTTATGAAGGACGTGAGAAATGATCTCTAACCAGGCTGGGCCAAGATGGAAATGTGTGGCCTGCCATTAAACGGAATGCATTGTGTAAAATAACAGTTTCCCCTCACATTTATCCCTACTATCTTGCCACTTTCTTATACAGTGAACTGCCATACCTGACATTTCACAACCCTTCCACATTTCACACTATCGTAGTGCTAGTGCAAATCGAAGAGAACGTGGATAACCCAGAAAAGGCTGTCCAATAAGCTAGTGGTTAGTATTCGCTTGGCGGAAATTCTTCTCCCTGGCCCCCAAGAAGAATCTTTGGGGCCAACAAAGGCTCTGAGCACTTCAAAATACCTGGAAGAGAAGTTTTCCACCTCAGTTTCTCAAATGCAAAGCTCAGAAAGTGTGTTTGCATTCACAAAACGGCCCTTCCTCATCGGTGACAAAGGAAGCCTCCCCTCCACCCCTTTTGCCCGACGTGTCTGATGGAGACCAAGGCCCTCCGGATTTCCAGTCCGCACCCCACTGGGCTCGTGGTGCTGTCCCAGCAGCGGAGGTGGGCCTGCTAAGAGACCCTGGCAAAGGGCCAGGTGGCAGCCTGCCATCTTTTTGAAAGTCAACAATAAGACCAGCTGTGAGCCATCTGAAGAGGCCACGAAGGCAGCAGGGGTGGAAGAGAGCAGGAGGGCTCCTGGAGCAGGCAAGGCGCTACTACAAAGCTCTGCCTTCCTTGCAGGTACCGATCCAGTTCGTGGTTCTCCTTTTCTCAACTGGCCGTTCCTGGAGAGGAGGTGGAGAAGCGTCTATACCCGCACAGGGCTCACCGATGCCTGCTATCAGGAGCTCCTGGCCTTGCCTGGGTGATCTCCACAGCCAGGCACCCTCCTCCAAGCATCTGTCTGCCCCTCATCATACAGCATCAGTCACACGGGTGTCCAGCCTCCTGGCAATCTTCCCAATGGGGGCCTCAGGGGACAGACTGTCCCTGCCACCCCCAACCTCCACCCCCCAATTGGGGTCTGCTCTAAAGATCATCAAGGCGGTTGCTCAGAGACGCTGCAATTGAAGTTCCATGCTCGCTCTGCACCTTCACAGGGCAGCCCTAAGAGCTTCCCTGGACCCCACAGTGGGTCGGCAGCAGGACAAGCCCTCGTTCTTGGAGTCCATCTTCACAAAGCATGGGCAACTTGCAAGAACCCAGCCTTGGGAGGAATAAAGCCTTGACTTCAGACACACAGACGTGCAGCAAGCCCCCTGGATGATGTGAAATGGGCCGGGCTCATAGGCACCTCTACACTCCCCCTAAGGAGGCCAGGTCAAGCCCAGGCGTGCGTTCCACCAGCCGGCCAGTGCCACGTGCAAACCAGTGAGAGTGAGGCCTGTCTCATGAGATCCTTCCTTCAACTCAAGGAGGCACCAGAGTTGGGGTCAACAGCTTGGCGTGCTGAAAGGAAGGTGGCCGTGGAGGCAAGGTCGGAGGCAGAATCCGATCTCTACGGGCATCCACGTAGTTCATCACACACATCTTCGTTATGTAAAAACCACGTTTCCAGTGTAAAAACTGTGGGCTTATTGCAGCTACCCCGCTGATGGTTTCTCTCTCTCTTCCCATCAGACTTGCCCCAAGTGCGCGGGCTGTGATTCTGTGAATTTCCAAGAATCTCACATTCACAGACCCTTCTAGGCTTACAGGGAGAGTCCCTACTCATACAAATACCCCAACTGTGAGCTTTCTGAGGCCCCTTCCCTTCCTAACGATGGGCAGAAACATGTGGCTGCTCCCAGGCACTTGAGGGGAGAAATTTTTCTTCGGCACAAAACCCCTCAGATTGGTGACTCCCCTGATGTTCCTGACCACGAGCGGCGCATCCGCCAGCCTCATGGCACTTGTGCTGGTTGCTTGGGATTTAATTGCATGGGACTATATCAGGTAGGCATGTGGACATGTATGTGTGCGGACGTGTGTGGGTGCACAAACACACATTTTGGGTCCCCAAAAATCAAAAGTCCTTGTGAGTGAAGGGAAGGAGAAGAGCAGAGATCCAAGGACGGGGAGCTGTCAGCTGGCTTCTCTGTCCAGGCAGCCAATGGTGGCTTGTCAGGAGCTGGAGAAGGTTTTAAGTGCTTCTGTGGAAAGAAGGCACCCAGCTTCCGGTGGGTCTTCTCCTGTCATCAGCGGCCACTGCGGTGTCTGGATCCCCTCCCTCTGTGGCTCAGATGGTTTCTGGGGTCTCCGCTATCTCCTCCAGCCTCTGCCGAATCATTAGCCGGAGCACGGTGTACCTGGCAACAGAAACAGCCGCGGTGGAGAGCAGGAAGCCACACACACCTCCTCTCCGCCCTACTTCCCAGCCCAGATCACAGTGTGGGCGACGGTCCTGTCCCTTGGCTTCTGTCAGTGGCCCACTCTCTAGCCACTTGGCTGCTTCCACACCAGAGTGAGAGGGACTGAAGAAGCTAACTCCAACCTAGATTGCTTTCCTGTCGTTAGAAAGTCCGGCAAAGAAGGGTGAGAAGGTGGAATAACAACAGAAACAATAAGGGTTCCATTAGCGGAGTGCTTACTGTGCCCGAGGCACTGTGTGTAGTCCTTTATACGCCCAGTAGCATATGAACCCTCACTTAGGCTGGACCATATGAAATTGCCACTATCTAACTGCTATTGGGTGGGGGGAAGGGCGTGCTACAAAAATTACCACTTCACGTGGTTCAACCTGATGCCAGTTCTTGCATTTTTATAGAAGAGGCCACAGCAACTGGAGGCCCAGGGATATAACTGAACACTATATCCCCATTCCTTCCCTGAACTATAGCAATGCAGAGCTAAAGGGGACATTCCTCATGTGCAGGGCTTAGCACTGCACAGCAAAAGCTATTTGTAAAGTTTGGCGTATAGTTAAGTGTTCAGTAAATATTAACTGCTTTCATACTTGTTATTATCATCCATACAGCAAATATAGCATTGGCTTTACTCTCTAATAAAGAGATAGAACCAATCAATCGTTCTACCACACCCATAAAACACAGTCTACTTTATGACTGTGCATTCAAAAAAAAAAAAAAAATCGTAAAACCCTTTCCAGAGAGAAGTTTTACTGAACTTGCCAACCCAAGTGCAATTTTCTCAAGAGAAATATTAAAAAGGGAGGAAGGTGTGAGGAAAGGATTCAGAGGTAGGTTGCTCAGGCTCCTCGCCACCTGCCTGAAGTCTCCAGAACACTTCCATGTTTCACATCAAATGGAGAAGCAAAGGGACCAAGACACTTAAGTTTGGTGCCCCCAGCTGAGATGTGGATTCATCCAAGGGAAGGTCCCTGGAGGAGGCTGAGAAGACGCAGGCCCGGGCAGCAGCTCAGCCCCGGCCAAGGCGCCCGAACAGAGCCCTCCCGCTGAGGCCCAGGAGAAACCCAACCGGCCCCCCGGGGGCCAGGCCTACTTTCGCATCAGCTTCTTGACTTCCCGATCTTCCTCCTCTTGGAGCTTCTGGATGAAGCTTTTAAGGACAGGCATCTCAAACTTGATGTACTGGGCCACCTGGAGAGGAAGAAGTAAGTGATGCTAGGGTGACTTACATTCTACTGAACTTGCCAACCCAAGTGCAATTTGGGTCCCCAAAAATCAAAAGTCCTTGTGAATGAAGGGAAGGAGAAGAGCAGAGATCCAAGGACAGGGAGCTGTTCCAATGCCCTTGGACGGCTCTCTGCTGTGAGACACAGAGCCTGGGGAATCCATTTCTGCACCGATCCTGAATTTCCTTCAAGGCAGGAGCCACGCCTCATTCTTCCAAGGCTGACACAGAGTCTGCAGTGAAGATCCCTTCATGTACAAGGCACATATCTCATACCTCACATTTCACATGCTGAGGTGACTGATGTCCAACATGGAATAGCACTTTCTCCTAATTCCATGATGCAGAGAAAGGCCTGAACCCATAATGTTTAATACACCTCTCTGCTCTCCCCTAAGAGAACTTAAGGAACCATGACTCAGAATGATGACTGTGTCTCTGGTCTCAAGCAGGCATCTGAATGTGATTTTGACCCTGAGATGCTGTGGGTGGGGTGGCTCCCATGTGAGTTGAAGTTAAAAAACCATTTCTTCCTCCCCCACCAGCTTCCCCACCCTACTCAATCCACTCTTCTCCCTGGGAGAAGTCTATTTCTACACCCTCTTCATGGTGGGCGTGGCTACGTGACTTGCTTTGGCCAATGGACTGTATATGGATGTCACACATAGCAAATCTGAGTAGAGGCTTCAAATGAGCTTACATGGTATGGCCTGGTCTCTTGCATCCAAGCCATCGGCCATGAGAAGCATACCCGAGGTAGCCACTGCCTCTTGAGCTTGGGTCTCTGAATGACACACGCAATGCAGATCCTTAACCCACAGCCTAGAGCAGAACTGCTGCTACCAGAATCCTGAGCAAAAAGTGTTGGCTGATGTCAACGGCTAAGCTTTGGAGCTGTTTCTTACTGTAGGTAAAAGCTGACTACTACACAAGATAAGGGTAAATCACTGCTAACTTCTTGAAGTTGCTAAGAGAGGGTTTGCAGAAACTTCGCAGCCCTCTTTCAGGACCTCAGAAAAGCTCGAGGTATTTATCCCTTTTATGAAATTCATTTCATGCTTGAGCATTCCTCCAACAACTCCCACAGGGCATACCCTCAAACTAGCCCCTGCATTTATTCTCCTGGCCCATGGCCATTACTGCTTCGACAAAACCTTATATTGAGGAATGGCTTCATGGGGCATGGTCCTTAATCAAAAAAACCAAGCTCTATCCCAGTTGCAGGTAAACCAAACAAATCCCCACCCTCCTGAGGACAGTCCGTCTACTAAAAGGGGACTCACATCATAGGTGACTTCCTCCACCTGGTCCTTCTCCATAAGGAACACCTTGGAGACCTGTTCACACGGGCCCTGGAGGATCCGGGCAATCAGTGGGTAATCAGTGTTCTTCAGCTTCTGTTTCTCTGGAATCACACAAGCCAAGAGCAGCCCTGAGTTTGTCCTGAGGCCTTTGTCACCGTAAGTAGGGGTGACAATTCAGGGGCCCAAATGGACCAAGCACCATAGGAGATGCGGCCATACAGGTCAGGAGACTGATTTGCAACTGTACAGTTTAATGACTGTTGTTCATTGCAATGGTTCCCTCTCCCCTCCTCAGCAATGCTCCTGTGCCCCGAACCCCTTGGAAGATGTGGCAATGGAGGAATTGGTTTTATCTGTCTCCCAAGAAAATCCACTTTGTTTTTTAATAGGCAGTTAAGGTTCTAGGGCTTGCTTACTGATCACACCTGGCATGCCACCAGCCTTGGAGGCAAGCAGCCCTTGAAAGTTTCCCAACGATAAACAACAAGCAAAATGAGGCAGAGGTTGGCTTTGTGTCTGTGTGTGTTTTAACTTACTATTCTGAGTTAATTAAACGTCTTTTAGGGTACACAATGTTCTTCAGACTTACCACCGCTGGTATGGACCACGTACAAGGCAAACTCCTCCGCTGAATTCTCAATCTGAATCAGGAGCAAAAGGATGCTTGGTGAAAGCACACATTTACACATCAGACCTGAGCCATTCCTGCCTCATCACCGCAAAGCTACATGGGTTTTAGGCTCTTTTGAGGGGCGGGCTGTTCATCCGCAGCTCTCTCCGAAGAGATAATGGGCTTCAGGTAACGTCATCAGTGATCATAGAGAAGAGCTCCTATTTATTGGACTGGCTGAGGTGTTTCTACGTTTTAATGCTTTATGTCTTAACTCACCTAATACCTCCTAATAGGGTCCTGTTACCCTCATTTTACTGATGAAGGAGCAGAAGCACAGGCAGCTTAAGTAACTTGCCCAACTCATCCAATCAGCGAGTAGGTAGATGATGGGACAGGATTTGAACCCAGAGCCTGTGCCCGTAGGCCACTAGGTGACACTGGCTTCCATTAAAAAAAGAATACCTGGTTTCCCAAAGATTTATAGTAAGGGGATTTATGGGAAATATATAGACGTTAAAAGCATTCATGCACTCTCATTTGCACATCTTATTGAGGTTCATTTTCAAAGTCGGTTCTTTAACCTACTTAGTGCACAGGACCCCACACTAGTTGTCAGACCCGCAGTCCTTCCAGCGGTCCATAATGCACCCATGGGCTGGGGCCGCTCGGGTTTCTGAGGCCCCAGAATTCCCTGCGAGCCTTGTGGAGCAGGTTCCCTGGCCTCACCTCCAAGCTTCGGATCCAGCCAGTCTGATTCGGGCGGGGGCCTGAGAATCTGCTTTCCTAAGGAGTTCCCAGGTGATGCTGCTGCCTGGGGTCCAATGAACCCAAACGTCTGCCCGGTGCCCCCCTCACCACGCTCTCCACAGCCCCCACCTCTGCACCTCTGAGGCCACCGAGGCCCACGTGCCGCCTCCTGAAACAGCCGGCGGAGGGAACTTGCCTTAAACTTGTTGAGCAGTAGCTTCAGGACTTGTGGGGTGGTCATGGTGCTGTTGATGCGGACGTTGGTGACAGAACCATAGGCCGGGGTGAACACCGACGTCTGCCAACAGAGGGGCCCAGCTCAGAGTGGGAGTGGGGACAAGGACGGGTCTAAAACCGGGGAGTCCCACCCTATTCCTAGGACTAAAGGGCACACTCAACCTGTGCTCACTGACAGTCCTCGAATAACCTGGCAAGTATTGAGCTCTGTTGTCAACAGAGCCCTCAGCTTCAAGGGGGCTGATCTCCAAGGGGCAGGGTTGGGAAGGAACAGAGCTAGATAAGGGAGGCCCTCTCTCCCAATAAAACACACAAAGTCCCTTCCACTGCGACTTCAACGCAAGGACTCTGACCACTGTCCCACAATGCACCTGCCCCTGGGAGCCAGATCTGACAGTAGGAGGGAAGCTGGGGATCAGCAAATTGAGGTGGAGTTCTAATACCCCTATCTGAGTCCCACAGCTCTGCTTCGGGGAGTGCCCTTCGCTCATGGGAAAGTCAGACTACACAGCGCTGGGAGGCAGGAAGAGGGTAACACAGGGATTTGCTGGTATCCGACAAAGGGTGGCTGTGGGATCATCTCACCCACCACCTAGGGGGTTTCCTGCCCGGGGATTCCTTGTTTCTCACGGAGCCAGCAGCCCACCCACAACTCAAAGAATGAATGGTAAACAGTTGGCTTCCCTGGTGTCTGTCGCCCTGAGGTGTCCGCTGCCTAGGAAGGACCTTTGCCCACCCCCCTTCAGGTTGCCCCCTATCCCCCGCCACCCTGTCCCCTCTACCTTGTGGTTGTAGAAATGGCCATTAATGGAGAAGCGGTGGCGTCTAATTCGCCGCTGGTCGCTGGTTGTCCTCACGTTGCCGCGGCGACGCACCCCGACATCACTGCGTGTGCGCATCAGCTGCGGGGTGTCTTCCTGCACGGGCTTCAGGTCCCTGGAGTCTGAAAGGAGGAGGGAAATGAGCTCCGTCTGCCAGCACCAACATGGGGCAGTTTGCACATTATACCCCCTTGGTGGTCATGGCACCCACCTACTGCCCAAAAATACATTTTATAAAATCAGTATCTCCTGCCAGGGCAACACCACAATGCATAACTTACTGAGACGCAACACAAGGTTTAGAGCCCAGACTTCAGAGCCAGACCCCCAGATTCTAATCCCAACTCTACCATTGCTGTGTATCACTAACCTCTCTTGCCTCAGTTTCCTCATCTATAAAATGGGAATAATAGGACCCAGCTCATAGGGTTGTTGTGAGGGTTTAAATGAGTCAATGCATGTAAAGCACTTGGAGCAGTGCCTGACATAGGATAAGCATGATAAAAGGACTTGCAAGGTATTGCAAACCGGCTATCCAAGTTACAAATGCTCATGGCCTCAGGCCTAGCAATCCCCCTTGAAAGAATCCTGCAGACACAGACAAGTGTGTGAAATGACACATCCACGAGGCCACTGACTGCAACCTCATTTGTCACAGCAAAAGACTAGACATGACTTCCATGTCTACCAAGAGGGAAGGATTACAGAAGTGGTCATTTTCCCACACAGTGGGACACTGTGGAGCCATGAAGAATGCAGAAGTTCTTCATGGATTTGCATGGGAAAATCCTCAAGACAAACTGTTACAGAAACAGGGATGTGCAAATGCTGTCACTTACAGAAAAAGGGGAAGAAAAGAAATGACACCCAGCCGTTAAAGGTCTCCAGGTGTATATTTGCTTATATTTGCAAAGACTATCTCAGGGGGATGCCTTGACATTGCTTCTGTGGAGGGAACCACAATAATAAGCAGATGAAGTGGAAAACGTTTCATTCTTCTTAGTATTTCTGAATCTTGAGCCGTGTGGATTTTATTGATTCAAAAAGTAAATGACAGTTTACAGCATCTACCACCTCCGTCTTCACATGGCTGGCCCCCAACGGGAGGCTCCTCCCTCCAGGGAGGGACCCACCTGTGGGGCTTGACATCTGGTCACTCTCAGCCGGAGCATCCACCTCTGTGATCTGAATGTCGGGCATGGTGATGGGCTTCAGGATGGTGCTGGGGGCGGAAAACAAAGAGAGGCTGCTTCAGACACAGACAAGTGTGTGAAATGACACATCAACGAGGCCACTGACTGCAACCTTGTTTGTCACAGCAAAAGACTAGACATAACTTCCATGTCTACCAAGAGAAAAGGATTACAGAAGTGGGGAGATGCCCAAAACACACCCCACCCCACCCCTGCACAGGGAACACTTTGCTTGCTCCGGGCTGGGGACCAGCACACATCAGGTGATAACGGATTTGGGTGGGCTGTGCTGAGTGTGCCGGGAGGCTGGCCCAGTGCCAGGCTGAGCCCTGGGTCAGGTGGGGGAGGTCTGGAAGGAGAAGACGCTCATTCCCAGAAGCTGCAGCAACATAAGCACCCGATTCATCAAGCGCAGGGTGGGGAACAGCAAAGAACAAAATCTGTGTGTTCCCTGGGCTGGTTTTCTAAGCATGTGCAGGTTCTATAGCTTATCTGGAAATCCCCAGTAACGGTCATTCATTTCTCGGGACAAGATTCCAGTTCTGACCCATTTCGGTTAGGGGAGTAACTCAGAAACTGCTTCTGGCGTCTAAAAGGAATGGAAAGTGAGAGCTGGCTGCCACGGGCCACGGCGGCTTTGGAAGGGGCGCCGACGATAGTGTTCACGCTGTTGCAGGGACTGAGCCATGCTCGTGAGCCACACTGGGGAAAGGGCCACAAGCAGGCAGTCTGAGCTGAGCCCTGGTACTGCCTTCCCTGGCAAATAACCCCTTAAAGCCAAAAGGACAATGGGAGCAGCTCCAAGAAACATACCCAAAATCAACAGAGGATTTTGCCAGAAAGGAGAATAATACTTAACAATTAGGACAATCCCCTGGAGAGAAGAGCATGGTTTCCCTGGGACCCAGTAGACAGATAGGACTCAGGTTTGGGGAATGATAGTTTAGGGAAGACAATTAAAACCGAACATCTGGCCCAGCCGATGTGGCTCAGTTCAATTCCCCATCAGGGCACATAAGGCTTGCAGGCTATATCCCCAGTAAGAGATGTGCAGGAGGCAGCCAATCAATAATGCTCTCTCAACATTGATGTTTTTTCTCTCTCTTTCTTTTCCTCTCTGAAATCAATAAAAATATACCTAAAATTGAAATCTACAGGCATTGTAGTATAAATGTGAACTTCTGACCCCAGAATGGAACTGGTCAGAGCCTCTCGGGACTGGTGAACACTGGGCACCTTCTCTGTCCAGAGCCCTCTTTCTGGCTGGAGCAGAAACTGGTCTGAGCATCCTTCTTAACACAGTGGTCCAGGCATCCACCTTATCACAGCAGGCATCTGGGACAGCATTATTTCCATTCCTGAAAAATCTCTCACAGTGGCTGCAGGTTTCAAGAACCAACCCACACCAGCTTGATGCCACAGGGAAGGGAAAAGGAACAAATGTGGGGAGAGAAGGACCCTTTAGCAGGCCCAGCCAAAGGCCGCGTGGCCTAACAGAATTTCAAAAATCATCTCGCTTTAGGGAACAGAATGCAACCCAGTCTGGGGGTCAGGGTGGGACTGTGGGAAGGGTTTGGCCCACTGGAAACCAAGCACCATAAACGTTCTGCATGCAAAGCAGAATGTGGAACCAGCAAAACCAGAGCCATGACCAGCCACCCCAGCGCCTGATGGGATGGGCAGACTTTCCTCCTTGAATTCCCTTGGAAAACAGCCAGGTCCGCTCCGGGCTTGGCTACGTGTGGGTTCCTCTCCATTTTAGAGAAGGATCGCATTGGCAGTGGAGTTTAACAAAATGTTCAAGGTGGCCAACAGAGAGGGCTTGGTTCTCATGTAAAACAGAAAAAACCTCACTGTGGTTTTGGCCGAGAGGTTGGCACGCTCCACCCGTGCTCTGGCCAGAAGGCAGGCGGCATCAGCAAGTTTCAAGATGGCACAAGGCTAGTCACTTGACCCTGAAAACTGAAGTCCCGGAAAGACGGCGAGGAGGGCGTGCCTTCCCAGAACCCTCAGCTTCTCCTTTGGCGGTGAAGGGAGAGGAGGGACAGGCGTGGTCTTTGCAGAGCTTCCAGCAGGGGCTCAGAAGAGAGGACCTCCCGGACGACGGGCCTTCATGCCACCACCCACCTCTCTGGTTAGCCTCACACATAATCTTATATTCAGTTTCTCATCCACATCCCCCCCAAGACATGGGAAGCCCTAAATGTCCCCAGAGCAGGGTCTCTCTACGAGATGGGCCCCAGGTGTCCTGTCAGACATCTGCGGGCTGGGCCTGGCTGGCGGTTACCAGCCCCTCTCAGAGGCTCTAGAATTCTCCACGAGGGAGAACACACTGCTCACCCAGGCTTTGGTACTTCCCTCTGACTCAGCATCGCCCCTCCTCACTCTGACTGTCACTCGGTAACTGTGGTGGCAGATTTCATGGAAGCCTGATCACAACAATACCTGCCCCTTTCTCCTTATCCCACAGCAGAGCAGGGGGGCAATGGCAGAGGTCGGAATGGGAGCAGGGGAAGGGGGGGATGTCAAGGCTGGCTGGAAGAAGGTGGCATCTACTTGCTCAAGAACACAGAGCCCCCAGACCCTCCCAGTTCCATCCCTCCTCACTCACCCCTGAGCCCCCAAGTTGCAGCCAGAGTGCCAGGAGGAGGAGGAGGGAGGGGGGCGAATGCGCTCGTTGTCATCCTGCATCTGCAGGCGGATGGGCCGGCGCAGCCCCCAGGAGATGTTCAGCAGCCCCTCCACGATGAACTCGTCTTCTTCCTGCCACAGAGCAATCGGTGCGGTGAGTCCCGCAGGAAAGCCCTGCGGAAGCCAGCATCGCACTGGGGACAAGGGACAGGGTCCTGGCTGGGTGCACATGAGTATAGTCACACCCAGCTCCCAGACTCTCTCCACTCTCAACCACCCTGAGGGTGACCTGGCAGGTCAGCACACAAGTTGCCTTGAAATTCAAGTACACATGTGCAAATTACAAGAACGGAATGTGTTGGGGTTTTTTTGTGTTGTTTTGTGTTTTGTTTTTTGTGTGTGTTTTTCTGTGCGTGTGTGTGTGTATGTGTGTGTGTTTTAATACTAATGACTTTAAAGAAAGAAGAATACATCTTTTAAAGTAAATGAGACTAGCCTTGCTAACAGAATTAGCTTTTTTCTCCCCCACCCCCCACTATGGAAAAAAACAATGTCCTTAGCTACAACATATATTTAGCAATCTGACCTGCTGGTTGAAGGGGATTTAAAGTAACATTTCCCCAAGTTCATTCTACAGAACACACAGAACACCTAGCAGAGTACAGACTCTTCCAGCAGACCAACTGTTACCTTCAAAAGGGTGTCACGTGATCGTGTGTTGGGAGATGCTGTTAATCAGAATTCTTAATAGCAGAACTTCCCAGACAGAGCCTATAATAAGCTTGCGTGCTAGATTGTGACTATCCAAGAAGTGAGTAAAATCTTGCAAGAATTCCAAATTTATACTCAAGGGTCGTTCACTAATAAGTTAAATGTGAAGCCCTTCTAAAGGCATTTACATGATCCGGAGAAATGGATCTCATTTATGACCATGAAATGCGTTGATTACCAAGCATGTTGGGAATTTATTCTATAGGACACACCCCGAGAAAAGCTGTTTTAGGGCTAAAATCTTGTTAATGGGTCAACCGCTAATTAGTAGAAGCTTTGAGATCAGTGCCTTCAAGGGTCAGGCCATCATTTCCAAGTCGCAGAAAATCTATTTGGGGCAGGGCCCACAGACGTCAGACCCAAGCCATGAACACATCTTCAGGACAAGCCCTCTGGGTGAAAATGATACCTGTCCAGGGAACAACTAACCTGAGCCCCAGGATCATCTTAGAGAGGGAGCGGGAATAAAAGAATGTAGAAGAGCTGAGCAACTTCAGGACATTTGTGGATCTTGGGGAGAAAGACTTTAATTAAGTACAAGCTACATAGATGGCCTTCTAGATGGTCAAGGCTAGCATCATTGCTTTAAGTTACATTCCTATAAGACGTAAAGTAGGGCTTTGCCTAAATGGAATTATTTGAGGGACACAGAGAAGGCCACTGCTTCCACATCCTATCCCGGACGAGCCTGCCTTAGCAGCTGAAATTCTACCAATTGCTATCTTTTTCTGTGGATTAAATCGCCATGGCTTGATAACCTGAAAATGTGCTTAGAAGGGTATTACGCATACCTTCTTATCAGTCAAGAACACTTGAGTATAAATTACTCTGCCAGGCTCCTCTATAACTCACCATCTATCTGATAACAGGTTTTACAGAAATGGATACAAGATGGGTAAGCTTAGAAGCAGGAGCGGGGCTGGGGAAAAGATAGATGGATAACAAGTGGCTTTCCAAGAAGACACCCTAGGAAGGCTGCTGCAGTTTTGGAGAAAGGCGAAGGGTATCCCCCAGCACTTAGATGGTTTACCCTGGTTTGCTGCAACATAAGACACTGGCCAAAATGTGTAAGCACAGAGGACCAGGAAGTACCTGAATTGCCCCAAATGAAGCAGCCTGCCTGGAAGCTATCTGAAAGGGTCATTTCATAAAAACCTCCCTTTGGAGATCCCCTCTCCCTCTCCCCCCCCACCCCCCATCAGGCTGGGGTGAGCCTTAAATGAGAGGCCACTCACTGTGGCAGGAGGGACAGGGGTCAGGATATAGGGCCCCTCAGACCCAGGACACATGGAGACAAAGACTGACCGGAGAAGGAGCCTCACAACAGGCCTTCCCTGGGGCCTCCTCACCTCACGGTGTCGAAGCTGCAAATTCTGGCCTTCATAGTACAGGTTGTAGGTCTTCAGATGCAAGAGAAGCTCATTCCTTAGGCAAAAAAAATACAAGATGAAAAGCGTTCTCAACTTAAGCCACGTATCATGCAGTTGTTCCTTCTTTATCTCACCTCTAACCTGGCCTCGTTCACTCTAGTCTGGGTGCTTGTCCACATGTGTGTGTACACACACACACACACACACACACACACACACACACACACACACGAGTCTACCACCACCCCTGTCGCCATCTTCCCCCAGGATTAAGATCGATAGTAAACACCACCTAAAACAGACCGAATGAAAGGAGCAACTCTAGAAAACCAAGGCGGGCCTTGTCTGCTGGCGGAGGTGGGCAGCCCTGACGCTACTCTTCAACCCCCAGTAAATGAGCTCCCAGACAGGCCTCTGCCTCTCAGCCTCTCCGCCCTCGTGCATGCTGGGAGTTAGGAGAGGACAATCGCTGGAGGCATTTTTTCATGAGACTCTGAAACTTCTGGGCTTTTGCGAATGCTTCCTAGACACGGACTTTTGCTTCCTGGACATGACCTGATCATGTGTTTAAAGACTTACAAACTCCCAGCGATGGTGAAAGGATAAATAAAGGCAGCTACAGTCACACAACAAGATATTAGATGGCAATGAGAACATGAATCAACTACACGCGACATAAATGAATGTCACAGATGTTATGCTGAGTAAAAGCCAGACACAAAGGAGCACATGTTGTATGACTTCCGTTTATATAAAGTTTGAAATGGGTGTTAGAATTCGGGAGAGTGGTTCACCTCGGGGAGCAGTGACTAGAAGTAGGCATGAGAGGGTGTGTGAGCCCTGGCAATATTCTACTCTAGGTGCTTTTCATTTATTTAAATAAAGTTTTTTTTAACTTACAAGCCTGTTACCAAGCTTTCTTAGCTGCCAAATACTGAGTTCCAGGTGTTCCACCCGGGACCCAGCTCTACTGAACCCTGGAGAGAGAGGGCTTCATCCCTCCATGATCAGGGTGAGCCCTCATCAGACCCAAGAATAGTCTGATTGAGTTTTGTCTAAAAATGTATGGTAGTGCACGAGGGCTGGGAGGGAGAGAAGCTTGAGGAGGCTGCTAGGGCTTTTGTCTATTCTCAGACCAGGGGCAATGGAGCCATTCAGTGGAGATATTTGGGGCCGTGCCAGAGATCAAAGCTGGCTGGAAATTCTAAGAAGCTCTTGACAAGCTAAGTCCAGATAAATTGGAGAAATTGCACACAAGCCTAAATGAATTAGTGAAAAATGTGACTCCATATAACCTCAACCAAAAAACTGTTGGTACTTTTGAACACACAGATCTGAAACTAGGATGCAAAATTACTGGTCAGGAGAAGTCCCTGGGGAAATCCTTCAATGTAGTGATAAGAAGGATCCATATCTCACACAACGTGTGTCTGTAGATGGCCTAAGGTGTCTTAAAAAATTAGTACAATTTGGATTTTAAAAAATTAAATATTCAATTAAGATAGAGAGCTTCCAGGATGTGTAAATCCCTGTGCTGGATATAAATATATAACCTGAAACTCATAATTCAAAAAAGCCCATTTTGGCTCAGCCCCGTCACATTAGCAAAAAGCTGAGTTCAGGAGATTTTATTGCCTATAAAGCAATAACACCGTGTTCTCCTTTTCAGGGGGAACCTGTGATTTAGCCAGAACCGCAGCAGCACAGGGACACAACTCAGCTGGGACTCCCGGGGAGACGCCACAGACAGGACAGTGAGCAGCTGCTGCTGACTCCTCCTCCTGGAAGCCCTCCAGGACACCATCTCTTCTGAGCTTTCAAAGATGCCATGTCTTAAAGGCCCCCGTTGGTTCCCTCTCTATGGCCAGACTCTGGGGGAGTGTTATCTAGAGCAGCAGCCTTGCTGATGCGTTTACTAGTCCACACTCAGCTACTTCCTTAGCTCTTTCTCCACACAAGAGCCTCAGCTCTCTCATGTATAAGGGAGGCATCTCTGCCAGTGGCTTCCATCCACACGAGGACACAACACGACAGCAAAAAGACTTACTTGGAAATGTATTTATCTTTCCCACATGGGACAAGGGAAGCTTGGTGACTGTAGTCCATTCTTCTTTCCTCTTTTCATCAGAAGGAGAGACCTGTATTTGAAAGGAGAAGGCAGAGGTCAGAGTTAGGTTGTGTCCTTAGGAATAAGCAGAAGTTGGGCCAGGGGACCATGGGCGTGTGGTCCTCTGTCCCTCTTCCAGACCCACAGAGTGGGCAGCCCAAAGGGACCCAGATGCCACACTGCCAGCTGCTGCCTCTGCTTGCCGCAGCCTCGGAGAGAAAAAACGCCCAAAGGGGAGATAACAACTGTGGACAGCTCCAGATCAAGTGTCCTGGCCACAGAGAATGTTGACACCCAACTTGGTTCCAAGGTCAACCAGTGAGTCGTCCCTTCAAAAACAGAATAGAGATTCATCTGACAGGAAGGCTGATTCCACCGAGGCATACTAAAGATTGGTAAACCACCTAAAAATGTCCAAACAGAGCTGGGGGCAAAAAATCGCAGTATACACATCTATAACCACCATTAAAATATGATACTGTGAAGGCAAATGAATTATCTGAGAAAATGACAATTCATTGTGAAAACACATGCTATATAAGTATGAGTCTAATTTTGTTTAAAACATATGTAAGCAAGTGGGATAAAGAGGGAGAGAAGAGGAGATATCTGTAATACTATCAATAACAAAAATATGTTTTAAAAATATCTACGTAACCATAAAATACTAATATATATGCATTTAGTTGAATAAATATATATTCAGATTTCAATTATATATATATATGCAGTCAGGCTGCAACGTCATCGATTGGCTCTGTAAATTTAAGCAAAATGATGTATAATGATGCAATTTTACCACAGGCTAATTGATATAAACAAGAGTTAAGTTCCTAAGGCATTTCATCAACATTATAATGAAATGCCATAGAATGAAAGGACATTAATCAAATGAAAGATTAAAATCATATGATCATCTCAACAGATGCAAAAAAAAAAAAAAGGCATTTGACAAAATCCAACATCCTTTCATAAATATTACAACATAGCTGAAACTGGATTGGCTCAGTGGATAGAGCGTCGGCCTGAAAGGTTCTGGGTTCGATTCCGGTCAAGGGCATGTACCTTGGTTGCAGGCACATCCCCAGTAGGGGGCATGCAAGAGGCAGCTGATCGTTGACTCTCATGGATGTTTCTAACTCTACTCTGTATCTCTCTCCCTTCCTCTCTGTAAAAAAATCAATAAAATATATATATTTTTAAAAAATTACAACATATTCAGTATAAAAAGAATGTACTTCAACATAATAAAGGCTACATATGACAAGCCCACAGCAAACATCATACTCGAAAATGAAAACTGCAAGTTTTTTTTTATGAACAGGAACAAGACAAGGATACCCACTCTCACCATCCTATTCAACATGGTACTGGAAGTCTTTGCCAGAGCAATCAGGCAAGAAAAATAAGTAAAAGGCATCCAAATCAGTAAGGAAGAAATAAAATTATCTCATTTTGTAGATAATATGATCTTACATTAAAGACTCCACTAAAAAAGCTATTAGAATTAATAAATTCAGTGGAATTGCAGCATTCAGAATCAACATACAAAAATCAGTTGCATATCTATCCACTAACAACAAACTATTGAAAAGAAATGAAGAAAACAATCCCATTTACAATAGCATCAGAAATCATAAAATACTTAGGAATAAGTTTAAGCAAGGAGTTGAAATATCTATACTCTTAAACTTACATGACTTTGATGAAAGAAATTGAAGAAGACTAAAATAAATGAAAAGGTATCACATGTTCATGGGTCAGAAGAATAGTGTTAAAATGTCAGTATTACCCAGAGCTATCTCTAGATCCAATACAATGCCTATCCAAATTCCAATGGCATTTTTCTCAGAAATAAAGTAAAATATACTAAAACGTGTATGGAACCACAAACACCTCAAATAGGCAAAGCAATCCTGCCAAAGAACAGAACTGGAGGCATCAAACTTCCCAATTTCAAACTATACTGCAAAGGTCTAGTAACCAAAACAGTATGATGCTGGCACATGGACCAATGGAACAAAATTAAGAGTTCAGAAATAAACCCAAGCATATACAGTCAACTAATATTTGATCAGGGGAGTCAAAAATACTTAGTGAGGAAACAACAGTCTCTTCAATAAATATTGGGAAAGCTCGATACTCACATGCAAAAGAATGAAATTGGACCCTTATTTCACACCACTTTGAAAAAATAATTTGAAATCGATTAAACCTAAATGTAAAACCTGAAATGGTAAAATTCTAGGAGGAAAAAAAAAAAAAAAAAAAAAACAGAAAAAGCTGTGGACATTGATCTTGGCAACATTTTTTTTTTTTTTTGGATGTGACACTAAAATCACAAGCAAGAAAGGCAGAAATAAGTGAGACTACATCAAACTAAAAAGCAAAAGGAACAACCAGCAAAATGAAAAGCAACCTACAGAACAGGAGAAAATATTTGCAAATCATGTATCTGGTAAGTGATTAATATCCAAAATATATAAGGAACTCATATAACTTAATAGCAAAAAAATATGAATAATCCTACTTAAAAATGGATAAAGGGTCTGAATAGATATGTCTACAGAGAGCACATACAGATGGCCAATAGACATATGAAAAGATGCTCAACATCATTCATCATGAGGAAAATGCAAATTAAAACCACAAGGAGATATGACCTCACATCTGTCAAAATGGCCTTCATCAAAAAATCAGCAAGCAACAAGTGTAGGTGAGGATGTAGTGAAAAGGGAACGCTTATGCACCATTGGTGGGATATAAATTGGTGCAACCACTATGGAAAACACTATGCAAGTTCCTCAAAAACTAAAAACAGAGCTGCCAGATGTCCCAGCAATTCTACTTCTGAGTATTTATCTGAAAACACACACATACAACACACACACACACACACACACACACACACTCAGAAACAACCTAGAGGTCCATTAATAGGTGAATGGATAAAAAAAGATATGATATAGCCTGGCTAGTGTGGCTCAGCCCATGAACCAAGAGGGTTGCCCAGGTTGCAAGTTCAATCCCCAGTAGGGGGTGTGCAGGAGGCAGCTGGTCGATGTTTCTTTCTCATTGATGTTTCTATCTCTCTCTTCCTCTTTCTTCCTCTCTCTCTAAAAATCAATAAAAAATACAAAAAAGATGATACGTATACTGGAATATTACTCATTAATAAAAAATAATGAAATCTTGCCATTTGCAGCAACATGAATGAACCTACGGGGTATTATGCTAAATGAAATAAATCAGACAAAGACAAATACCAAATGATCTCACTTATAAATGGAATCTAAAAAAATTAAGCGAATAAATGAAACAAAATAGAAACAGACCCATAGATACAGAGAACAAGCAGATGGTTGCCAAAGGGGAAGAACGTGTGGGGGTGGGTAAAAACAAAACCCAGAGGCATAATAAAAACATAGTTGATACCAATCTGTAAAAATTTTAAATTTCTGTTTTAAAGAAAAAATTTCCCTACCCAAAGTCAAAAGGCAAATGACAAATTGGGAGAAAATATTTACAAACTGTGACAAAAGGCTAATGTCCTTAATATGCACAGGGCTTTAATAAATCAGAAAGAAAAAGATTCTAGCCCTAACTGGTTTGGTTCAATGGATAGAGCATAGGCCTGTGAACCCAAGGGTCCCAGGTTTAATTCCAGTCAAGGGCATGTACCTTGGTTGCTGGCACATCCCCAGTGGGGTGTGTGCAGAAGGCAGCTGATCGATGTTTCTCTCTCATCGATGTTTCTAACTCTCTATCCCTCTCCCTTCCTCTCTGTAAAAATCAATAAAATATATTTTTTTTAAAGAAAGAAAAAGATTCTACACTCAGTAAAAATTGGTCAAACAACATGAACAGATAATTTGAAGAAAAATAAACACAAATAGTTAATAAACTATGAAACCTTTCTCATCACTATATTTTTACCTACCAGCGGATATGAAGCAAACAGCAAATCATAGATATATTAGAATTTATCTTTTAGTTAAAATTACTCAATTAGCCCTCAAGAGTCATAGCTGCATTGCAATGTAGTCATGTCCTGGGGCCTGCGAGCCTGCCAGTAAAGCAGGTTTCAGAAGGTATGCTCAGCTTAAGATAACAGAAGGACATACAGTGTGAAGCAAAGCTCTGTTCTTTTCTTACTGTTCTGAGGATAAGGTATCTGACTCACAACCCCAAGATGTGTTATCTCCCACAGCCAGGTAGACGCAGACAGGATGCCCCCAGGAGTTGGAAAAAAAAAAAAAAAACCAGGTTGCTGAAGCTTGAATAAGAACTGACCAATCAGCACAGCCCAGGACCCTGAGCCCCTCACTCATGATTTCTGTTCTGTGAAACCCCTTGTCTGTAAAGAACCGAGGAGCTGCCCAGTCTCCCCTGTGGAGTGCTATACAGTAACTGCCACTCTCTTTCCCTGCACCCATCCTGTGTCAGCGCAACTGGCTACCTGCAGCACCAGTGACAGACACTTCTCGGTTTCAGATATACACCAAGTAGTCATGAGACTCAGATGTGGGAATTCTCCGAGACTTTTGGTCACCCTCCGTCTGTTGGGTGATCCTGTCAAGGCCATCGCTATCAATCCGACCTATAGGCTCATGTTGCCCAGTCTTTGTCTCCAGCCTGACTCCTCCCCACCTTTTTTCCTTGTGCTTTTACATTTCTTGGGTTAAGAGTGTTAGGAAAATACTTGCATCGCCCACCATGTTGTTGAACTGAAATTACAGGTACCTGATTACAGGACCCCACCAAGCTCCTCGTTGGTCGGCCTCAAGGACAACTTCTGTGTCTCCCTCCACACACTTTCCAACCATCACCACAAATCACTGGCTATTCCAGCCAGCTATGGGGTGGAGGAGACAGAAACAGTAAAGCCAGCTAAATGGACATCCACTTTAAGGCCAACACAGAGCTGGCAAAAGGCCAGAAATTCAGGGTTCAGTTCGAGACTCCTTAACTGAGCATTGTTTCTCGCATACGGAAGGGC